AGGAAGTTTATTGGTCAGTTTTGTTTTTTTTTTTTAAAGTATCAAGGGGCTGGCGCTGTGGAGTAGTAGGTTAAGCCGCCATCTGCGGCACCAGCATCCCATAAGGTGCCAGTTGGAGTCCCAGCTGTTCCACTTTCCATCCAGCTCCCTGTTAATGGCCTGGGAAAGCAGTGGAAGATGCCCCTGCACCATGTAGGAGCCCCAGAAGAGGCTCCTGGCTCCTGGCTTCGGATTGGTCCGGCTTCGGCTGCTGCAGCCACTTGAGGAGAGAACAAGGGGCTGGAAGACCTCTCTCTCTCTGTCTCCCCCTCTCTCTGTAACTCTGCCTCTCAAATAAATAAGTACATCTAAACAAAAAAAGTTAAAGTATACAACTTAATGGTTTAATGCACAAACTTCTGCAGGCATCACCACAATCAATTTCAGGCATTTTTATCATTGACAAAAGAAATACTACCTCTATTTCACTTCAATCTCCTACATCCTAATCAATCACTAGTATGCTTTCTGTATTTATGGATTTGCCTGTTAATGAATAGAATCATTTTCCATTTTCTTTTTAGTTGGCAAATACTAGCATTTTTGGAGGTCGTTGATTGTTCAACATGTATGTTAAAACCAGTCACCTTATTGAAGTCTCTTAGTGCCTTTAGGTTTTAATTAATCCAATTGTATATTCATCATTTTAAAACAAAAATCAAAGCATGATATCTGATTTCTGGTTAACTTTACTTAACCATAGGCATTAAATGATGTTTTATTATTTCTTTTTTAAAAGTCAGCTTTTATGAGAATAATGAGACCTGAAATTGAAGCCACCTTAGAAATCCAAATGTAACACATACTCCTGTGTTGAGCTCCATTCATTTCCCTTGGGCACTCAATCTTGCTATTCAAATCTACCAAGTGTGATTTCAATGAGATATTAAGTCACCTCTCATTTGGCTAAAACAGGAAAAATTAAAGAAGAAAACAATTGAGAGTTTGGACAGAAACACAGCACAAACTTGTACCCATATAAAGAGCAATTTGTCTCTTATTTTAACCCCAGGGTTAATAGCTAGAATGATTTTTAAAATAGAGCAGAGGGGGCCTTGTGGTGCAGTGGGTTACACTTCTGCTTCTGACACCAGTATCCCATATGTGAGTTCCAGTTCAAATCCCAGCTGCTGCACTTCTGGTCCAGCTTTCTGCTAACATACCCAGGAAGGCAGTGGAAATGGCCTAAGTATAAGGGTCCCTGCCACCCTTTTAAGAGACTAGAACAGAGTTCTTGGTTCCTTGTTTCTGCCTTGCCCAGACCCACCTGTTGTGACCATTTGGTGAGTGAACCAGCAGATGGAAGATCTTTCTTTCTGCCTCTCTCTGTCTTTTTAATACATATATGGATAAATGATTAAAAACAGTGAAATAGACTACGGCCCACTCAGATATTTTCAGAAAGAAATTACATGCTCTTCTACTCATGTACATGAGTAGATTCTTTTCCCCACAAATAATAGGACCTACTAATTACTAATTCATCAAACATTTATTGAACTTCTGATAAATGTAGGAGTCCAAATTATTTGGAAACAATAGGCCTATTGTGACAATTATGAATAGGGACTGAAGAAAATCAGGCACACAGAAACTCAATAAATTACTGTTATTCATTATTATACATAATGTCCATTGTAATACATGATATTATTACTACTATTAATTTCTAGAAGGGTAAAAGCTTAGTTTATCATTGTCTTTATTGGCCCTAGCAAACAAACAAAAATGTAAAACATATTTGAAGATTATTTATTGACTCACTGATATATAGTCACAAAAACCTCAGTAGCCAGAAAATATTTTGATTCAATTCTTAACTTATAGCCTAAAACCAATTCATAGAAGATGTATTTGTTAAAGCCAAGAATACTCCTCTTTTGAAGTCAGAATGAGGTTCTAAATCGTTCTTTTTATCCAAGTTAGTTAAAAGGGAAAAAAAAACCTTCTAAAAATCAGACCTTTAAATTGGCACAGAAAAATGCTATGAGGCAAAGAATTTACTCCTCCACTCATTCACCATTTATTGAGCATCTTCTGCATGTAACATAAAAATCTGGCCAGCACAGAACTTGCAGACATTAAATGGTCAGACAAATATGAAATTGCAAACTGAGGTAAATGACACAGGAGGAAAGTAAAGAGACATATCCAAGATGTGGCTGGCTCAGTGTCCAAGCCTCTGGGAGTCTCTGGAAATTGTCTTAGTTGTATGAGTGGCATTTTACACAGGAAATTGATATGATCCTATCTGCTCTTGGTGAAGAGTTGGAGGCTCCAAGCAAGGCACCAGGGATCTCCTTAGAAAGGGACACTAGTGGTCCTCGTGGCAGATGATGACTTGAAGTTTGATGGTGATAAGAAGGATGGGAAGAAGAATCTAGCAAGACACACTTAGAGCTATCAGTAGGAGACAGAGTTTATATGACCATGTGAGTTTGGGATGTGGAGAAGAAATGGAGTGTCAAAGATAGTTCTTGGATTTCTGGCTAGGGTGATTTCATGGGCAGTGTGTTATTCATCAGGATAATGTTAATTAAAAATATGTTATCTCAAGAACTAAGGAAGGAAGGAAGAAAGGAAAGGTGGGAGGGAGGAAGGGAATATCCTTATGTTCTCAGAATTGTGTCTATGAATTACATTGAATCTGTTCTTTGTATTAATATTATGTTAACATGAAAAGATATCAGCAAAGACTAGAAAGTGTAAGGATATATTTGTTGCTGTTATTGTTTTGGTTTGCTTTTCCAAGTGTTAATAGTGTAGCAAAACAAGGCAGCAGCAACTTCCAGAAATCAGTTTGGAAAGATTACATTTTGAGAAGCCTCTAGAAGACCTGGTACTACATTGTCTTGGTTTCCAGATAAGTGATATGCATGAGGGCACTTCAAAAAGTTAATGGAAAAGTATCATTAAAGGCTGTTTATTTCAGAGCAAAAGTTTTTTGAAACCCAAGTATAATTCCCATAATATGCATTTCCCATGAGCATATTTTTATTTGACAGAGAGAGAAGTAAAAAGAGAAAAGAGGGAGAGCTCTGATCCACTGATCCCCTCCCCAAATGCCTGCCATGGATAGGGCTGGGCCAGATCAAAATTGGGAGCTGATAACTCCATCCAAATCACCCACATGGATGGCAGGGATGCAAGTATTTGAACCATCATTTTCTGCCACCCAGGGTCCACATTAGCAGGAAACTAGAATCAGGAGCAGATTCAGAATACTCTGAACATTTGGACACATTTCTATGCACAAATTTCAAAATTGTTCACCAAAAAAAGTCTTTTAATGCCATTTTTTGACAAACGTTTTCTGAAGTACCATTGTATAAATGAGGTACTTTTGAATACTGTTTTCTCTAACATAGTTGGGGATATAAAACCTTGGATAGATTGTTTTAACATCCTTCAGTTTTTTCTAAACTCACGTTATTCTATCTTTATATTCTGCTCTTATGTTGACATCATCTTGTGTTGTGATTACACACAATTCTTCAGTCTATGTTGCTGTAACGGCCTTAGAAGCGTCTCCCTAACATTCATGTGTACCCAGAAGCTGTGAATAAGACCTTGTTTGGGAATCAGTTACTCATAGAATTAATCACAAGGAGGTCATATTAATTTAGAGTGCATCCTAAATTCATATGAATGATGTCCTTACATGAAGATGAATTGTTTTTTACCCAAGGACACACAGAAAGAATGTGCCCCATGAAGACAGTGGCAGAGACTGAAGTTATATCCAAGAACACCTGGGGCTGCCAGAATCTGAAAGTGGCAAAGGAAGATCCCCTGTTAGGACCTTGGAGGGAGCGAGGTCCTGTGGACTCTGCTTTTGGACTTCCAGCCTCCAGAACTGGGACAGGGTCAGTTTCTGTGGTTCTTAGCTGCCAAGTGTGCGGTTGTTTGCTATGGAAGCCCTAGGAAGTAAAACGGTTGCAAAGATTTACATGAAATCACCTGTTTGAAACAACCTTGTTTAATACAGGGCACAGAATGGGGGTTCAATAAACATACAAGTCTTTTCTCTTAATGGTCATCACTATTTTTATGGTGGTTTATAAGTAATCTTCATACCTACTCATTTAGTACGTCCTACTATTCCTAAGCCTGTTTCACAGATGAGAAAATTGAGGCTTGGGAAAGTTAAACAGCTTTCCCACGACCACAAATCTAAACTTGAAAGAGGCCGGGGCAAAGTCAGCTCTGTGTTATCAACCAAGACTATATCTATTGTGGCCTAGTAGACTAAGCCTCTGCCTCTGGTGCCAGCATCCCATATGGATGTCCTGGCTGCTCCTCTTCCAATGCAGCTCTCTGCTTATTGCCTGGGAAAGCAATGGAAGATGGCCCAAGTGTTTGAGCTCCTGCACCTGCATGGGAGACCTGGAAGAAGCTCCTGACTTCGGATCAGCTCAGCTCTGGCCACTGCAGCCATCTGGGGAGTGAACCAGCGGATGGAAGACCTTTCTCTCTGTCTGTAATTCCACCTCTCAAATAAGTATCTTTTAAAAAGAACACGATACCATAACCTGGAACCCCTGCTTCTCAGCTGACAGTGTTTCAGTAAGCTCTGATAAAGTGAAGGAGAGGGAGTACCTGCATTTAAAACTCACAAAATAACAAGTTGCAGAGACTGAGTACAATCTACTCAATCACAGAGGAACACTGGCCAATGCAAGCAATGGCCTCGAAGCACATTCCCCTGCTTGTATTAGCAGCATTTCTGGTTTGCATATATTTATCCCAACTCCAAGTAGTACCCATCAGATTGGACGTTAATGGCTTTAATTGAAATGCCTTTTCCTCAAGCAGCCCCCATTTCATTCTGATTAAACTGACTCTTCCCACCTAACAAGATCATAAAAAAAAGGGTGGAGGGAAGTGTCTCCAAACTTCATATTCACAGATGTCTACTCTTTATATTATAAAGCAAAAAATAAAGCATGACTTAAATTTACCTTTGCACCCCAACGCAGTGAGTTGTGCTGCTGAACAGAACTGATGTACAAATATGCGTGGTGGAGCTGTTCTGCCAGTGCCACTGTGAAAGATTCCTACTGTAGACGGAGCTCCTGGAGAGCATCGGGTCCATCGGGACTCAGGTAAGACAGAGTGCACGCCACTCAACCCGGGAAGAGCAAAGCACGGGCGGAGAGATCCTGTGAGGTACCTAAGACTCTGGCTGGGTTTTGGTAGAACCCTGTGGAATGTCACGTTTCCTGATTGCCCCAAAAGTATATCCCGCTTTCCAAGCTGTCATCAGCTATTAAGGATGACACTTTACTGGCTTTGTGTCAATTTCTCTTTTTCTTCATGACTCTGGCCTTGGCGCTGATGCTTCAAATAATTAGCATCTGATGCTGACGAATTAACTCACATCTCGTGCTAAAAGCTCCGGAGCACACACACACATGGTTTGAGGAAGAGCGAACACTTCTCCTCCAAACTGGGCACAGAGGGTCCCCAGACTTTTCAAGTTCACCCTCCAGGAAGCTGACACGGCATACAATTTTCACAAGAGTTTGGAACCGAGATCCTCTTCCTCACTCTGCCCGCACTGGTGCCCACAGAAGAAGTTGTCTGTCTCCATTACAACCCACCACGCGCGCAGGCACACCAAGGCAAATAACAAAGAGAAACACAGCCCCACACAGGCTCAGCTATTGCATCTTCCAGTCCACACCTGCCCAAAGACAAACACCATATGGGAACCCTGCCCTGGCGCTCTGACCAGCGCTCTCTGGGAGAAGCAGGCGCCCTGGCAAACCCAGCCGCTGTCTACACAAAGAACCGGTGCGGGGCTGGCTAGCGGTTTGGGGTACCAGCGCGCTCCCAGGGTTGGTCTCCCGGCTTCTCCCGCACGCCCTCCCGCCCGGCAGAGAGGAACTACCCTTTATTTGACCCGTGGAGAGCCCAGGCTGGGTAGTAGCGCATGGGCTGGGGGTTGGGGAGTGGGCGGTCCCCGGATCCCTCCCCTCCATCCAGGCAGCCGGTCCCCAGCCTTTGGCATCTTCTGGGAGATGCACAATCGCGCTGTCAGAGTCCGCTTCGCATCCTTTCCCCGACAAGGCAGGATGCCCTGGGTACCAGCCGTGCGCATCCCCGCCGGCGCCCCTCCTCGCGCCGTTCTCCACCCGAGCAGCCCCGCCAGACGCGCTCGCCTACCTGGCGCTTGTCTGTCAGCGAAGCGGCGGTGCCTCAGCCGCGTCTCCTCAGCTGCTCCATCGCTCCGAGCGCCATGTTCCCGGTCTCTCCGGGCGCACGCTGGGGAACTACTACGGGCTGGGTAGGGGCAAGGGGGGCGGGGGCCGGAGGGAGGGGGTGGGAGGCAGAGCCAAAGCTTTCTACTCTCCACCCAAACCTCCGCCAGCTACTGAGCATGCCCAGCTGTCGGGCTTCGCCCTGAGAGGACTGTCCACGAGCGCAAGCAGCTGTTCCGGGTTTTCGCGGCAGCCGGCTGGGGGCAGGCCGCGGCCGCTGCTGGGGGTGGGGAGGGTGGAGGGGGGGGGAGGGCATAGATGGGGGGAGGGGGGAGTGTCTACACTGGAGAGCTGTAGAAAGCAGCCGATCCCATCCTACTTTCCGTCGGCTTTCCTCGGCTAGGGGAACTCCTGCACGCCCCTCCGCACACACTGGGGGTTTGCAGAAATGTTGGGCAGGTCCGTTGCAGGGCGGAGCGGAGCTTTGGAGGCCTGTGGAGATGAGGGGTGGGGGGGGGGCGAGCTGAGAGGCTCATCTGTATGCTGGCCTCTTTGCCACCACCTGGACCAGGGCTTCTCCAACTTTCGTGTGCCTGTGACTTACAATGCAGATTCGCATTCAATTGGCTGGGGCCCGAAACTCTGCAAGCCCAACGACTTCGCAGGTGGGGTGGGTCCGCTGATCCTCCCAGCGCTCTGCAGTAACCAGGATCCAGAGCACCCAGCCTGTGACTGGCCAGTGCCTCCGTGGGTCTAGCTGTGAGGAGTCAGATGGTTCTATAGGCAGCCTGGAAACTGAGGCTGGAAAACGTTCCCCAGGAAAGTTATCCTTAGCAAGGTCAGAAGTTCAAGCCTGCCCACTCCTTGGGAGCTTCCAGTCTTATCATGAGACTAGCAAGGGAGTGGGGACTCCACCCTTCTGAGCTCCCAGTTTACTGTAAAATAAATTAAGTACCCCACCCTTGTGATGGCTCTTTTGTTTTATCAGGAGCAAGCCAGACAGGGTAAAGGATTGCAAAAAAGGTTTTGTCCCCACCTTGTAACTGTATGTCAATCTGATTGCCAAGTTTCCCTCTCCTCCCCCCCCAAAAAAATGAGCTTAAAAACTCAACTGCCACGGACCACTTCGAGTTTTTTCCTTTCTTGGATCCCCCTCCATGCCACTCTGGCTGGAGGTCTTTTAACTCTAATACATCTTGCTTTTAAATCTCTCTGCTTGGGGCGGGCTCTGTGGAACAGTAGGTTGATCCTCCACCTATGGTGCCAGCATCCCATGTGGGCGCCTATTCGAGTCCCAGCTGCCCCTCTTTCCATCCAGCTCTCTGCTATGGCCTGGGAAAGCAGTGGAGGATGGCCCAAGTCCTTGGGCCCTGCACCTGCATGGGAGACCAGGAAGAAGCACCTGGCTCCTGGCTTTGGATTGGCGCAGCTCTGGCTGCTGTGGCCATCTGGGGAGTGAACCAACGGAAGGAAGACCTTTCTTTCTGTCTCTCCCTCTCACTGTCTGTAACCCTACCTCTCAAATAAATAAATAAAATCTTTTTTTTTTAAATCTCTGCTTGTCCACTTGGAAATTTTTCTTCCATGTGAGACAAAGATCTGAGGTAATAATATTTTTCTCTACAGAGAAATGTTTCCCATAATATTCCATGGCCTCTGGTGTCCACAGAAACCCTTTCTGCCTTCAGATGGCTTGGAGACCCAAGGGAAAGTGTGTCCTTGAGGGTGCCACAGCTATCCTGAAAGGATTCTATGCAGGGCCAGGCATTGACTGCCCAACCCAAATTGGCTACTTTCTGATTTAGAATCTTGTGCCTACCAGAGAGGTGGTTCTGGCATCTCTTCACCCTCACTTTACTAATGGGCTAGCAAACTGGTTGCAAGTGTAACTGCTCCACTCAAATCTGAGCCAGTCTGGCTTGGCTGTCCCCTGCTTTTCCTGGAGTGTGGGGATGTCAATTTCTCATAAGGTGTAATGCCAAGCTGGGCTTGACCAATAGGAAGCCCAACAGATGATGGTGATTGAAGGGTGTTTTGGTCTAAGAGATGACAGGCCTTTTTGCTAAGTGATGTTGGGGCTGACCTTGTGGTTCATCTTAAATCCCCCAGTTGCCCACTCCCCTCCCAAATACTTGGAAACACCTGGAATTATCAACAATGCTTGCTGCTCCCTCTAACGTGAGAGAAAGTTACAAACTAGTTGTGAGCTTTTAGCCTTGGAAATTAAGAACTCACACCCTTGCCTGTCCTCCGCCACTCCAACTTATGAGCAGGTACGTATGGTATCTGATCCCATAACTGGAGAGCAGTTTACAAAATAAGGATCTATATCTCTTAGGATCCCATTATACTCAATCACTTTAGACAGATGTCTAGTTAGCAGCATATTTATCATTTCCCCTTTGCTTGTTCTCTGTTTTCTCAGTACCCTCAATATAGTAGCTGCCATCTGGAAACTGGAACCACAGGATGAATGAATGATTACTTTTCTTCTCTAACATTTGTATATGTAAAGAAGAAATATGTCCAGGTCTGTCATATTCTGATTTTCCATTTAAAGGGTAGGATTCTTTAAACTCATCTCTACTCTTTCAAAGCTGCATATATAGTCCTGAAAACACTGCCCCCCACCATCCTCACTGATACACCTATAATTATTTGCATAAATAGCTTCTACTTTTACTTCTTTGTATGTGTGCTCACACTGATGCAAAAAAACAGAAAGTACTGCACTGTGGTCTATTTATGATTGGTTGGTATCAGTTAAAATTGTGATTTGAAATACTGAACTTTAATCACTTCAATAGTGATAAAGGTGACATTTGTGCAGTTGTTACTACTGATTCAGTGTGAGGACTATGGTTCATTTTGGAAGTATGCAAAGTAAAAATTACAGATGAAAACTAATATTATTTCTAGAAATACTGAATTACAAAAAGGACTAAAGGTTTTCTTTGTATATAATATCCTTTCTTGACACTGTTGATTAGTGACCAACACCTGTGGGTGAGAAATCACCCACAATCTGGAATGGACAGAGGTAGAAACTAAGATGTGATTCAGGCTGTGACAGTTTGGGCTAGCCCCTCAGGATGCTTGGGTGACCCTTCAGAATTGCCCTCAATTGCTCTGACATACTCAGTGCTTTCTCTTCCCCCACTGACCATTACTCCTGGAAGGGGCATGAACTCAAGACAGGCAGCTCTCTAAAGCTATGGCAGTTCCTGAAGGGGGTGACTGTCAGACATAGTCCTTATAACTGGCATGAGTCATTCACTTAGGGAGGATCTGAGCAAAACATTCCTTTGCCCATCACATTAATGCATGCATGCATTGAATACAATTTTGAATACACATAGTAGTAGTCTACTGAATTGTCCGAGGGATTTAAAAGTTTATTTTAAAATAAGTAATAGACTTTTCCTCTGACTCAGAGAATTAAAAGTTGGGAAATAATCTGTTATCTGTAACTGATAGTATATTCCCTACTTTGGCATCTGAGTATCTATGTTTATATGTGAGTGTTGTTTAATTATGATTTATGGAACTGGCATATATTCACAGATTCATCCTCTATCATTTAAGGCATGCTTTTCTCTACTGGCAAAATCTATTTGTATTTTGAGATGGAGGAAACTGCTTTGAGATAATAATTAGAAGTGTGTTTTTCAAGAAAATAAAGCTATCAACTCATCAATATTTCATGAGAAACTATTCTCAACCAAACTTGTTAACATCAAAAACTGAAAAGATGTACCTAAGGATAGTGAATTAGTATATTAGAGGTGAGGGCTGTCAAGACAGCCAATGGAATCCAGGATCAGACTACCCCCAGCTCATTCTCTGCATTCCTATCCATGCTACTCAGTAGTAAGGAACTGGAATTCCTGAAAGATGAGTCCCAGGTATAATGGAACCAGCATGGACTCTAGAAAGGAACCGGGCATTCACTAAGATAATGATGATGGGGGAGGAAATTAACCTTGCAAGAATCATAAACAAAAAGCTGTGGTGCAGTGGGTTAATGCCCTGGCCTGAAGCACCGGCATCCCATATGGGCGCTGGTTTGAGACCTGGCTGCTCCACTTCCGATCCAGCTCTCTGCTATGGCCTGGGAAAGCAGTAGAAGATGGCCCAAGTCCTTGGGCCCCTGAACCCACGTGGAAGACCCAGAGGAAGCTCCTGGCTCCCGGCTTCGGATCAGTGCAGCTCTGGCTGTTGAGGCCAATTGGGGAGTGAACCACCGGAATGGAAGACCTCTCTCTCTCTGCCTCTCCTTTCTCTGTGTAACTCTGCCTTTCAAATAAATAAATACATCTGTAAAATAAATGAATGAAGAATCTGCCTCTGAAGAATTTCCCCCAGAAACAGAAGAAAAGTTCAAGCAAATATTATCTCCAAGTTTCAAAGAACTTAAAGATAGGATAATCTACTCATTTTTAATCACCATGAAAGAAACAGGAGGATTTAAAGAAGAAACAATAACACCAAGATGATGAGAAACTGACAGAGTTGGAGGAAAAAAATGGAAGTCATTAAACCACTCAGAAGATCAAAGAATAGGGGAAGGTGTTTGGTCTCATGGTTAGGACACTTAACGTGCTGGCTTCCCACATCTGAGTGCCTGGGTTCAATTCCTGGCAGGGGCTCGTCAGTCCAGTTTCCTGCTAATACCTGTCCCAGGAGATAAAAATGTTGACTTAAGTGGTTGATTCCCTGCCACCCTTGTGGGAGACCTGGATTGCATTTTCAGCCCTGGCTTTGGCTCTTAGCCTTTGCAGACATTTGGGGAGTGAACCAGTAGAGGTGAGTTCTCTCTTTATGTCTCTGTCCCTATCTCTCTCTATCTTCCTTTGCCTCTCTCTTCCCTTCAAATAATTTTAAAAATATTTTAAGATAAAAGAATGGGAAAAAGACACAACTGAAGACACAGTG